CACACACACACACACACGCGCCTATAGACCCCTCCGCTCCTTGCGATAATCCCTTGTGTGATTAATAGAGTTTTAATCATGCCTGTAGAACACAGATTGTGTTTTAGTGTCCCACGGTATTGGCGGTGACATTGCCGCGGTTGGATTGGCTGGATGTTGTCACTGAGAGGTGTTGTGTTGTATGCTACAGGTGGTGTGTGAGTGCAGTGGCTTTCGTTCCACAGGTTTTTGTTTGCATGCTGTTTGTTCTTGTGCAACTCCGCCCTATGACAAATGAGACAGGTAGGTAGTGAGCAGGGTATGTCTACATTTACATTGCTTTAATAACACAGGGGGAGAGACTACAAGACACAGAAACTGAACTGAAACTGCTTTTATCACATCTCAAGTTTTAGATTGGCAGCCACATTTGAATTGTTTCAATGATTCAATGAAGAAAATGATATTAACAATACTTAACATTGCAGAATTTGGCTCTCTCTATAGTTATGTCACTTAGCGTAACAGCAAAGAACATTAGCTGAGTCAATTTTGATCGTACAACTGTAGGGTAATGTATTTAGCAGGCTCAATTACAAGTGGCTGGATAATGAAGCCCTGCAGTCTGATTAGATTTGTATTTGGATGTTTGGGTTAGATCAGAGACATTTTCAATCTGGGAATGCTGCAAACCTGGAAAAGTTTGTTGTTTCAACACGTCAGAGCAAGTAAATCAGTGCAAAAAGCAGTACTCACATTTGCATGGCAGAACAGAAGAAGGCAGAACTAGTCTTACAATTTGCATTACACACATTTGACACAAGGAAAGTGGGGGCCAACACAGGCACCCAGGACATCGTGACTGGGAATCCGTTGCTGCTAAGCCCTGGATGACTCGAGGGTGGCAAATGATTCTCCTGCTGTTTAGGCACTGAAGCTTGTCTGTTGAGCCAGCGCTGTTGCATAATTTAGCTGTCGCCCCAGCAACACATAAGCCAGGAAGTGGGGAGCTGCACGGCTGCAGTGCAGAGATCAATAAGGATTGTGTGCGAGCTTTTAGAGGCAGGAATGTGTGGCCTCGTTTATGGTTCATTTATGATAAATGAGGAGTTCATCGTATGTAGCAAATGGGCTTGTGTTTTTATTTTGACAGTGGAACAAGCGTACCCCCGCGGTGCATCAGCCCACCGCTGTAGTGTCGTTTGGAAGGCAGCTGGATGTGTGAGAAACATACAACAGTATCACCATGTCTCTCAGCAGTGTTGTGGTGGAAGCCAGGAGGCCTCACTGCCTGGTGCGCTTGCTGTATATGCCAGCCTGACCTGGTTTCTGCTTTCTGAATGTTATGTTGGTGTCTCACATGCCATAACTGTCAGTGGGTTTTAAATGGTGTACTTAGTCTTATTCTGTTTACTGCACTTCCTGTTAGGCTGATGTAATGAGGCTGGAATTACCGTCTGACCCCTGTTTGTACAAACCGCCTGCAAATGGAGGTCGTTCAGACGAAAAATAATGAGGAAAGCTGAGGTCCATTAAAACATGTTGCAGTGCTCGTTCAGAACAAGAAGTGTGGCTTTCATGTGTGAGACCTGTATTGTCTCTGCCGTGTTCAAACTGTTGAGCTGTACAGGGAATTAAAAACCTCAACCCTGACTGTTCACTTCTGCTGTGAACACTGACCACTGTGCACACATATCACAATGAATACATTGTTTCACATGTATTACCTGACCAAGAATTAAGAAGAATAAGTACCAGTGGAGGAGCAACTCAAATCTGTGCAATAAATAAGTCAGTAATTGTTTGGCACAGTGTAAGTGCCATTCTTTAATTAACTTTATGTAGCAGTTCAGCGGTTCCTGCATTTGAGGATTGTTGACCGCCACAAGGAAAGGTAAAATTTAACAACTGAATCCTCTATACTTGTAAATCATCACAAATGTGGTTCATTGACCTTATGTGTCACGGAATCTGGTTTAATCTAAATGGAACACTATGAAAGTCCACATTATGAAACATATTCCTGAAGCACTCTCAGTTTATCAGCTTTTCTTCTTGATTTCCTCTTCAATTCCTCACCAGGTTCTTTGTCATCTGGGTGACTTCATGACTACAGAATTATATTACTAATGGCATTTGTGATGAATGGCCAGGACACTAAATGGCTAACCTTGTTTCTAAATTCCCCCCCTTAGCTACAACACAGATCTCAGTCCAGATTAGACTGGCTAAAGGTGTCTGATTTAACCTGCCAATTATTTCTCTATTCCTGATTTAATTTTCAACCAGAACATGCTAAAACAGACATTTACATGTTATTGTTTGTTTAAATGCATTCAGGTCTAGGCCTCAAGAGACTTAAATTTATTGTAAGTTTACACATTAATGTATATGGTGCGTTGCTCTGGGATTTTTCAGTTTATGTTTGTAGTTTAATGCTGTGTGAACCTTGCTTTGCCTCATTAATAGCAGGCCATGACTGGTTGCAGGCGACTGGGCTTTTTTTAATGGATTAATGGCATTTTTCTGATTGATGCTACTTTGTGCTGAATGTAGCCCGGCTATTATGGCAACAGTTGAATTTGTGGATGGATGGAAACAAATAAGGGCCTACAACTAAACAATTAGTGCTGCATAATTGTATTTTGCACTTCCAGTTTCCAGTACAGCTGGTGTATAGGCAATATTGGAACATTTAACTTAATTTAAATTGACAGTTGTATTTAAAAATGGTCACATATGAAAGGTCAAAAGGGAAGCAATATAATTTAGCTTTTAAAAAATCCAAATAGCCTAGCCTGTTGGCTGATGTCGGTAACAAGATTATGATACATTCTAAACAGTTCTGGCTAACCATTTATTCATCTGGATAAACCTAAAATCTCCAATATCACATAGTAGTGTGGCAGTACTTGCTACTTTCTGATTTGTCATGTGCTAAAGTGCAGAACTGCTGACTGGAACTCACTCCACTGAGATTTTAGCAATATTTTATTGTGTTATCTATTTATTTTTAGTTATTGTGTGTACATTTATCAAACAACTCTTAACATATCAGTGTGGGTGGGCAATTATTCACATGCAAATGGCAGTTCCAGAATCATCTGAATTAGTGTGGTGTTGTTGAGGTGTAATCATGCTGCAACAGACCAAGTTTCTGACCTGCTCTTAACAGCCAAGTGTGGGCGATTCCCCATGCCCAGAAATAGAGGTATTGAATTTAGTAGGGAGATGAGGGGGGAGGGAGAGGGGGAGGAGATGCTGTGGAAGGAGCAGAGGGGTTAGTGGTCTGGCTCAACACACTA